AAATAGAGTAATTGCTGATTAATAAATTCTATAATATTTATTCACGCAGTGAACTTATAACAATCTTGGATAATTTCATTAACACTGTCAATAAATAAACTGCATAGATGTCCATTATGAAGTTTATCTGTATACAAATGAAACACAGCTACACAAACTATTTATGTGCTTGATCTCTTGTTTAGAGTAATAAATCTGAAAATCAATTCATTATTTATAAAAATATACAACTTTGTAATACTTAAAGCCATCGGGATCGAAAAACTTGTAGACTTTCTCTGAACTTCCAAAAGTGTCCGAGATATAATACTGAAAAAGATATATTTTCGGCATGATAGAATAAAGCTGTACTGCTTTATTGTTTTATTATTTTCACTATACAATCATAGCTCATATCATACTCACGCGAAACGGCGACCAATCACAATCGACCCGCATAGAAATGATATCATCGAGAGCGAATGACGAATCATTGGCACTCGACTCGGCCGTAACGATTTTTCCGTTGCATTGTACAGATTTACGCTCTAGTCGCGCCTAAAAAAGTTTTACTTCAAAATCTTGAAACTTATGCAACGTATACAAATACATCTAATTCATACAATACTTTTGAAGTAAAACTTCTTTAGGCGCGACTAGGGTGTAAATTCGTACAAATGGCCCGAACTGTACGCCATTCGCTCTCGAAGAAATCATTTCAAAATGGGTCGATTGTGAATGGTCGTCGTAGTAGTGAATAGAGATCTGTCGTTGTATGCGTACCGGCATTAACGTTGTATGCGTACCGATATCAACAACATAGATAAAAAATCATTCTAAAATTATACATTGTAGTACAAATCTTGATGTCTTAATCAGAAGAATATTTTACCCTGTTTCTTGAATATAATAAAACAAAAATATTTGTGCCGTGTACTAAACGTAAGTTTATTGATTAGAAATTATTTCTATTTTATTCGTAGTTTCTATAAATCTTCGAAGTTATTGAAATGGAAAATATTTTTTAGGCGAGACAGATATTACAGATGTTCAAAGAATGAGATTATATCGCCAGCGAAAAAGTGAAAAAATACCATCAATCAATGAATGTATGTTAATTTCAATTACATGAAGTTCTTTAAACACAATTAAATGATGAGTAAAGTTGCGAAAAACAATATTGTTTAGGGTAGGCGTTGTTCAATATAATCCACTGTGTGAACAAATATTATAGAATTTATTAAACAGCAATTACTTCATTTCTCTAATGAAGGTTCATTTCTAAATGCCAATTACAATGACAAATGTCATATCTGAAGAATGACTTTAATTACATTATTGTTTTTAGATATACATATTTTTAATGCTATTATAAATATATAATTTATAATTTATCATAATGTAAATGTGTAAAATTGTTGACACTAATAAATGTAATAAATCATATTACTAATAAACATTATTCAAAATTGTTATATTGTATTTATTTTTACTTAACTTAAATTTGCCACTTTGTACAGTAGCAAATAAGTTTTACTTCAATCGCGTGTGAACCTTACGCGCACTCTTTTTTTTTCAAAGAAAAGTTGGAACATTCTATGTGCAAAAATTAGAATAGGATATAAAATATGTTGGAGTTTTTGTTACTTCAACGAACTTATTCCAATGTTATATGGACCATAAGTGCGGAGTATAAATTATATTCTAATTTTTATTGCATAGTATTCATTCCAACGTGTTACACATTTTTAAAATACACTAAAATAACATACAAATAGCGTGTAGTCTACTCTGCGATTTTTCATAATACCAATTAGTCTAATCATTTGAACTTACATTAGGTAAGAATCGCGGAATTCGAGATACCCAGCTGTAAGTCCGTAAATACTTGTATATTGACACTGAAAGTTGTCTCAAAACCCTACATATGTTGTGTATACCCTACCATATGCAAGTATTTACAGACTTACAACTAGTTATCTCGAATTCCGAGGTGAACTTACTATAATTACTGGACTAAATTAGCTACATCTGGTATATCTAGTCAATTTACCATATTAAAAAAAATGCCTGAAGAAGAAGAAAATTACCATAATCAGAACTCAAGAATTAGGAAAAAGGACAAAATATATATTGCAACTACTATAATCTTAATCTCGACATAGAGTAGATTTTGCACATTATTATCACACAACATAATAGAGATGGGTAACTCACTCTGGAGTTATCACTCCGAACAACTCCTCCTTGGAGTGAATTCGAGATGGAGTTGTTCACAGGATTTGTCATATCGACTTCCTTAAACTGGTATTAAATCTGTAACTCGTACAGGCATTTAGTGTTTTTGTCGTTTTTGTTTGGGAAGGAAGCGGTCACTTTTGTTCTCGCAGGCAGTTTATGACCTTTTTTAGGTATAAAAGTCAAAATAAATACCATTGTGTATTTTCCAGAAAATACAAAAATGGTTACTTTAAAGATACAGAACAATGAAATTGCATTCAAGTGTGAATAGTTCGAATGTATAATTATTGAATAGTAAGGGGTAATAGTAAGGGGTAACATTTCTAACTACGACAATCTTTGGCCGTAAATGACGGCAATTAAGAATATACATACGAAAATATACGAAACGAAATACATTTATTTAATCTTGTTTTTCCATAGCCTGAGTACAAATTTATCAGTGATATGCATTAGTATTCAAGCAGTAAAATATTCAGTATTATATTATTACTTTTACACAATTATATAATAGTGTAAAAGTAATAAAATGCTAATCGAACTACGCGATATAATATTAATTCTCAAATG